TTTACCTATAAAACTTTATCTGCAAGATATATTGTAATTTGTAAGAATTTATAAATAGGAAAAGTGTGTATCATTTTAAAGGACATAAAATTGTGTGTCATTTTGAGTGAGAGAAAGAAATAAATCATGAGAGAGAGAGTTGGAAAAAAAAATTTAAAGATATGGATCTTACCTTTTTATGAGAGTAAAAAATGTAAAGTGTGTCATTTAAAGATACACCTTTTTTCCTTTATATATATAACATGCCCATCATATTTTACAAAGAGTTTTATAAAAGTTATGTTGTAAAAAAAGCGATTGTGTAATGTTATAGAGATTCGTTTTGCGTGTCATAATTTTTTCTTTTTCTTTTTTCTTCAAAAAATGTGGGCCCTACTAGATGTTGTGTGTGTAAAAAAGTTTGTTGTGTCATGTTAAATGACAAATACAAACCCTTTTTACAAATAGCTTTTTGTAAAATGAATTATTTATAAATGGATGTGTTCTGTCATCTGTGGCGTGGTACGGTGCAGTGCGGCGCGGAAAAGAGGGTAGAGGTTGGACCATTAGCCTTTAAGAATTTGCCAGCTGCCGCACATGCATGCTCTTATCTCAACTCATCCTTCTCTCTTCTTTTCTATGATTGTTTTTTTAATAAATTCTTTCTATGATTTTTTTATCCATCACAAATTATCTGATTTTTTTTTCTTTTTCTTTTTTTTAGACGAAGAATTTTGGGGGGGGACAAATACAGACAGTGAGATGATATAAAAATGTATATAGAGGGAATACAATAACATTATAACATGAGCTAAGTTATATTTATAAATTTTTATAAAATACAAGTAGTACATGCTTAACTAATATATATTAATTATGGCAAAAAATTATTCTTATGTCACATGATATAAGTTTTTTCTCATACACATTTTTTGATAATTGTGTCACCTTATTCTTTTCTTTTCTTTTCTTTTCTTTTTTCATGTGGTGCAGCCTACTAATTTGTCTCTATGACATGAGATAATTATCTCCTTTAACATGAGATTAATAAAACTCATTATTTATTGTACATAATATAATTTATAAGAAATTATAATTAAAAAGTTTTTAAATATAATTATATTGTTATAATATAACTAAAACATGAAATGCGGAACAGTACGAATCAAAACATGTTATGACAACTTTCAAAAAAAAAATGTTATATAAATGAAAATATAGTTAACTAAACTAATATACAGGTGAATTGCTACAGTCTGAAATTTTCAACTTTTTCGATTTTTTTATCAACTAAGGTATATTTAAAAGCCATATGCAATCTTAAAAATCAAATTCATTTAACCGTGACCGACTTATCTCAGCGACAGTTTTCTTCTTCATTACATACTTTTTATAATAAATAAAAACATTAAATAATAAAAATAAATTTTCTTTTATAATAAAACATATTTTGTATGTATTTGTTTAAAATCCATCAAACTTTTATTTAAAAATGGAAATATACTAAAGATATCATACTGTCACAGCATATGATCCAATTAATCTTTTTCCTATTTCAATGATTGCAAGTTTTTGGTATTTAGAATTGAGGCATAGTCAAAAAGTAAAGGAGAACTTGATACTTTATCTATTATTTATGGGAATAAAATTAATAATTTATGTAATTTTAAATAATTAGGTCAATTTAGACTAATTTAGATCTAGAATATAATAATTTTATAAATTGTTAGATTTAAATCTGAATTTGAAATAAAATGATGGTAAAAGTGTGTATCATTTTAAATGATGTCAAATTGTATCATTTTAAGTGAGAGAAAGAGATAGATAAAGGAGGACAGAGACCGGACAAAAAAAAATAAAAGTATAGATCTCACCTCTTTGTGAGAGTAAAATGAAATAAATTGTGTCATTTAAAAGGACAAATACTTTTTCCTAAAACTATTTTATAAAGTGTCAATGAAGGTTGATATATCTATTTAAATTTTTCCCTCACACTATTTGTAATTTTAATTTAATTTTTAGATTTTTTTTTTGGAGGCGATATATAATTTTATCATAAATTTTTAATGAGGTTAATGGTCTTCTTAAGGGCGTCTTTGTTTTTAATTTAAATTTTTATTTAATAAAAAAGTTATTTTATAAAATAAAAGAAACATGTTTACCAAAAAAAAACATTAAACATAGAAGTACTGTAAAGTTAATGGAAAAAACTATTCTTATGCTTTATGAGATAAATTTTTTCTCCTACACATCTTTCGATCATTGTGTTACTTTTTTATTTTTTTTATTTTATTTTTTAGGTGGTGAAGTCTATAAATTTGTCTTTATGACATGAGATAATTTATCTCCTTTAACGTGATATTAATAAAATCCAAAGTTAATTGAGAAAATTTAAGAAAGTAGGGGAAAAAAATGTCTTTTGCTCATTTTCTTAATTTTATTGTGCAAAATCGATTCCTTTGAAGCCATGAGGAGACACCTTCGGATAGACTGATTTAACATGCGGTATCAAACTTTAAAAGTTATGAGAATCAGTGATAGTGACCACATCCCTTTCGCTTTCCCTTACTATTTCTCTCCCCTTTTATTCCGCATCTCTTTGGCCCTCTATTTTGCCTTTTAAAATTTAATTTTTAAACTTTGGGTATATTTTAATATATGATGTTGTCTCTGTGCGCATGCGACTTATATGCGAAAAATTATTATTATGTTATAAAAGATAAAATTTATCTCTTATATATATAATATATATATATATATATATATATATATATATGTGTGTGTGTGATTTTTTTTTTCTTCCCATGATACTTATAGTTATAGACACCACATACTTTTGTAATCCCATAAAATAATTGTGCAATTTTGATCTTAAAGGTCCTATGTAAGATTTGTAATTTTTTAATCTATTTATCTGTCCTTCAATTTATATTACCACTTGAATCAATTCACTATATTTGAGTATAGTTTTCAATTTCATAAAACAAAACTATTTTTTTAGGAAATCAAATCCTCCTCGGATAAGCCATCGAGAAAGCGATATTGAAAATATTTCTAATACCGAAATCTAGATATGAATAATATGATTTCCAAATTTCGATTTTGCCTTTCATACTCAATTTTAAAAATTATTCATTATTATTTCTTCGAATAAATATCGAGAAAGATATTTTTAGTATTTTTTTTTGGCGATATCGTAGCTCTTTACTTTAATGAGAACACTCTGTCGTTAGCACTGAAAAAAGAATGATGTGACACCCAAAATATTTGCGCATAAACTTTTACAATTACTTAACTGATCATAATATCTTCTGCGGCAAAAATTCCGTACTAGCGTAAATTTTCAAAAGAATCTCCGCGCTGAGACACATCTGTAAAGAATGACGAGAGTAAAGTAGTCAAACACGTAGGTTTGACTGGCGGGACTGGACTCGCCACATACAACGACGTGATCAGGAGCCACGTAGGATGTCTGCATCTCTCCCGCCACTTGGTCTGACTCATTTGAGTCCCGCCATATGAGTTGGCGAGACACACTAGCCACATAGGATGTCTGCATCTCTCCCGTCAATAGGTCTGACTCATTTGAGTCCCGCCATATGAGTTGGCGAGACACACTGTCATCCGCCACGTGCCTTGACGTGTCTCACTCATTTGCACCTTATCCCTGCGCACCTTCAAACCGTCTTCTTCTCTCCTCTCTTACCTGGTTCCTCCATTTTCGTAGCTCGGTTGTGGAGCAATTGTGGGAAACAAATTTTCGTTGGCCAAATTTTCTTCTCCCGTCCGTTGGCACCTGAGCTGAAGCAAAGTGTGCACGTTCTCATTTTTTCCCCTTCCCCGTTTAGTACTCTCTGGACCACAGGTACTTGATTCTTTTATATCTGTGTAATATTATTTTTTAGGGGTTAAGGTGTTGTGTATCTGCATTATTTATAGGTGGATGTAGTTTGTTTTTTTTAAGGGACCACAGGTTTGGTGGTTTTTTTTTGTGTATCTGCATTATTCCATTTGTGTATCTGCACGTTCTCATATTAATTTTTTTGCATGTGTTTTTTAATTAATGAATGTTGCATGTGGTGTATTCATTTGGAGAGATATATGTGTTTTGAAATTGTTTTGATAATTAAGACAAAAATAAGGTGGCATGAAAGGAAACTGATGTAGCCCTAACATTATATCTATAAAATAAAATGAAATGGTGTTTTAGTAATTAATAAATTTGTTTTAATTAGTAAAAAGTGGCTCATTTGTTTTGCCTAATTAATAAATTAATTACTAATATTAAGCAAATTATGTAATTAGTAGTATTGTTGTAATGTTATTAATTCCCCTTTTCAAATATTTTGCATTAATGAGGAAAAATATTTTTGGAAACCTTAGGCATCAAAAAATTATTCCTAACATAATTAGTAATCAATGTAATTTGGCTTTTGGAAAACAGTAATTAATGTAATAATTATGTAGTAATTTTAATTAGTGTTTTAATTAATAGTAATCATATTTAAATTTACAATGCTTTATAATCCATGTTAGGAAACTAAGTTTTTAACATTGAAAATTATAAGCATCAACCTGAAATAGTAATTTTGATTTAATATATTTATAATTATTACAATTTTTATTTATGGGAATCGTAATAATTGTTTGAATAAATATATAATTGCAGTTTACATGTTAATGAATAAAACCTTCAAAAAAAACATATTAGCTCAAATTAGTAACAACTAAAAAAGTAATTAAATAGTCATTACAATTTATTGAATTAGTTAAATACATGCAATTAAATCTTTTATACAAAATTATTTATTAACATTACAATGTTCCAGTCATTTAATTACTGTATATTTGCCAAAATTAATAACTTCGACAATATACAGTAGTAAATACATTGTAATTATTTTCGATATGTTGTTGTAATTATATTTGCAGTCATATTTTATTAAATAGTAATTGTAATAGTAGCTTAATTATGTAGTCCGTATATTTATTGATTAATTTTGCAAATTGTTGTTAGTTAAATGGCTAGTCATCAACCTCGCATTGACCCCGGTCCGAAAGAGTGGGGTGTACTGGATGAAGATGTGCAGCAATGTCACAGATCGCAGGTGGTGTGGAATGAGGGACATTTAAAGTCTCTTAGTGTTAGACGAGCCTTAGAGGGTAGGGGAATTAGGGATGTGCATAACCCAGATGACATCCCCCAAGACCTGCAGCAGCATTTGATGCGTGCAGGTTTCTGGCATGCGGCTCGCATGAGAAGATTACCGGTATGTTTCAGTTATGAATTTTATTTTGTTTATTACAAGTTACCAATAATAACAACCTTTATATTTTTTTACTTAAATGATTGTTGGCAGATTGACCATAGGCTGATTACTGCACTGGTCGAGAGGTGGCGGCCAGAGACTCACACATTTCACATGCCTGTTGGAGAGATGATTGTCACTTTACAGGATGTTGAGGCCATTTTAGGTTTACGCACTGAGGGTCGGGTGGTTTCTGGCTACACCCATGGGAACTGGGCGGACGTAATCACGCAGTACATGGGAATATCTCCACTTGCAGCTGATTTACGACATGGGAACCTTAAGATGGGTTGGTTGACTCAACATTGGGGTCAATGGGCTGCGCATTCAGCTACACACGAGGGACAAATTAGGTACACTCGTGCGTATCTTATGCGTCTCTTTGGAGGTTTTTTGCTGTGTGACAAGTCAAGTTCAGTAGTCGCTTGTCGGTACATTCAATTATTAGATGGGGACTTTGAGGATACCAGTATGTATAGTTGGGGATCTGCGGTACTCGCAGTACTTTTTCGTGAACTATGTCAGGCAACATCTTCAGGGGCCAGTGATATTGGGGGATGTACGTTGTTGTTGCAGATATGGGCGTGGAGCAGATTTCCTACCATAGCACCGCCTATTCCCTTACCAAGTGACCCAGCCGATCACTATGGACGACGGTACACTATAACAATTGTTTTCACCATCATTTAAAATTTTTTTGTACCATTTGCCTATCATTCATTTGTGTGGTTTGTTGTATTATGTTTTATAGGTTTAACAATGTCGTATCGCGGCGACACCAATTTCACCTGAAGGATTATCGGATTGAGCTTGATCAAATAGGAAGAAACACGGTACGAATGATTAATTTTGTTGGTTTTTATTTCCATCCTATTATATCGTGTTCTGTGGCTTACAAATATTTGCTTCTTATAGGTTGTCTGGGAGCCATATAAGGAGGTTGGCTATGAGTTTCTCGGGGCAAATCCTCACATGCAGAACTTGTGGAGGGCTGTTACACCTGTACTCGCCTTCCACATTGTCGAGATGCACCAGCCTGACCGTTGCATGCGGCAATTTGACATGCATCAACACATCCCTAGACCTGCCGGTCGGTTGAGAGGTGCACATGATCTTACGTTACGTGGTAAGATCACTGAAAATTGGGAAGCGAAGATGGCCCCCCACATACATTTGTGGAACACTAGACATGTGACCATATCTTCGTCCACACTCGTCGTAACTTCGAGTCCATTTCTCCTTTGGAGCAGCCTCAATCCACGCAGCGACCTCTGGACTAATGCTGCAGAACTCGGCATACGCAGCATCAAAGTAGTCTTTATTTGCAATATATCCTGCAAGAAAAAACACACTATAATATACAAACGGACCCAATCGACAAAGGATATACAACATTTTATGTAACTAGTTTGCATATATAACCTAGCTTCTTTAGAAAACCCTTCATGTATTGATCCTTGAATCGTGTATTAAAATTGCTCCCTACATGACGAAGGCAAAACACATGGTATGCATTAGGAGGTTGCCATCCAATGTCTGGATTGGCCACTGCTGATAAAATGCTTTTGTGTCGATCCGAAATAAGGCTTATACCAGTCTTATTGGTTACATGCATTCGGATGGATGCCAAAAAATATTCCCATGCATCTTTTGTTTCACTTTCAACGACCACAAATGCAATTGGCAAGACCTCATTGTTTCCATCTTGCGCTGTGGCGATCAATAATGTCCCTTTATATTTACCGTACAGATGCGTACCATCGACCTGTATGACTGGTTTACACCATTTAAACGCCTCCCGACATTGACCGAAAGTCCAGAAAACACGTTGAAAAACCCTGGACCCGGTAATAACTTGTCCATTCATGACACACGGTCCATGTTGAATATGGTAAACTGACCCCGGAGAAAAATTCAACATGTGTGCGAACCATCTTGGCAGGAACGCGTATGACTCGTCCCAATCTCCGTAAATCTTAGCAATTGCTTTCTGCTTTCCCATCCACGCCTTCCTGTAAGAAACATTATATCCAAAAAGAGCAGTAACCCGTTCTTGTATCAAGATAACGGCCACCGACGGCGAAGCCTTCACCATGTCTGCATACAGATATAGAGCATATTTGTAATTAGTAATAATATCGGCCTTCACATGATAAACTCATAAATTGTCCCAGTACGATAACTTCAACAATGTATAGTACCTAGAATGGCCTCAGATATAAAATGTGAATCAAGTTGTTTGTGATCTTGAGAAAGGGTTGTGCTGACACAAGAATGTTTTCCAACCCATTTACTGACTACCCAGCTGTTGCTATTCTTCGGTTTAATTGCCCTTACTCGCCAATTGCAGCCTTCTTCATGCTTATGGCATTTCATAGACAACTTTATGGTTGTACTTTCAACCACTACACCTTCTTGATGCTCATTCATGCAGTAATGTTTTATAGCAGCTTGAACATCGCTCTTTGACCGAAACTCTTGTTTCACATACATTTCGTCTCCTCTTGTCCACGGACCACGACCTAAGCCTTCAACATCCAATATGTCTTCGTTCGGATAATCAAAATTAACAGCCTCATAGTGTGGGATGTCATCCCAAAATGGTGTCATATCTACAAAAAAATACAAAAACAAATTTGCCAAATATTAAAGTGATTATATAAAAAATTAATCATACAAGACGATACAAGACGTTCAATGGCTAACCTGATGATGATGGAATAACCGGATTATTGGACGTAGGGATAACAGTCTCCTGTGATATGGGATTATCATGATGTTCATCATCACCTCCATCACTATCATTCTGATCATGGTCATTTTCCAGTAGAGTGTCTTCATCTTCCTCCTCCTCTTCATTGTCAGGTTCAACATCTACCATATAGTCGCTTTCATCTCCACTTGCAATAGTTGATTGTGTGGGCTGGGGTTCCGATGACGACGACATTTGTGTCTGACTGTTAAGGTCCAACCCACGTGTCGGTATTGACATGTCGTCTGATGTCTCAATATCGACATATAACTCAACAAATTGAGATGTAGTAGAGTTTTGGACAAATGTTCCAAGAAAAATGTCAATGTCCTCATCATCAGTTATTTCTAAACCTGCATATTTTCGATTACCACATGGGACTCGACCCGTGACTGAAGAAATTACCTGATTTTGTTGCAACTTCAACTTCTGACGAATCTTCTGAAGTAGATCTTCAATGGACAAGCCTCGGACAATATACATTGCTCTTTTTTCCCCTTCGAATCTCAACCCGCCTACACTGTTAATTTTAGAACCATTATAATATACAAAAGACCGATATTGTTCCATTGTACTGTGTATTTATGCAAATAACACAAAAGGAGATCTGATGAAAGTAGAGATTAAAAAAAAGTAAATACAAACATTAAATACGCATTACAGCAACTCATACAAAAAAAATTACGACATTACAGCAAGGTCATACAACAAAATTTTAACACTACAAGCAAAGCAACTGATACAAACAAAATTACTAGAAGTCAAGAACCCGTCAGTCAAAATCATATACAAAAATAGCAAGCATCCCGAACTTTCAAAATGTCCCATACTAAGTAACACCGGAAGACCCTATATATAACCAGGCAAATATTTCCGTAAGTGTCAGTGGCGAGATTAATTTTGTAGTGTACGGGACGCTACCCCACGAGTATCGCGTGGGGGGATGCAGAAGGACAACGTAAACCGTCAACCAAGGTGGCGGGAGTAGGTACGTGGCTGGAACACGTCACATTACCTGGCGGAGCTTTTGTACACGTGGCATAGTCTCGCCAACTGATATGGCGGGACTCAAATAAGTCAGGGCAGCTGGCGGGATTCATGCAGACAATCCTATGTGGCTGCTGATCACGTCGTTGTATGTGGCGGGACTGGTCACGCCAGTCAACCCTACGTGTTTGACTGCTCTACTCTCGTCATTCTTTACAGATGTGTCTCAGCGCGGAGATTCTTTTGAAAATTAACACTAGTACGGAATTTTTGCCTATCTTCTGCACTATGCATGTGAATATACCATTTATTTTCAAGTTTGCATTTGTTATTTAATATGATATAAATATTTTTTTTTACACACACAATATTTTATGAGATCCATATTTTTTTAAAAAAAAAGAAAAAGAAGAAATTATGACATACAAATCGAATTTCTATAACATTACAGAATCACTTTTCCTGCAACATAACTCGTATAAAACCTATTATTTTTTCCACCGTAGGGTAGAAATAACCGCACACTACATTTCAAAACGGATCACCACAGAGAGACCTAGCTCTTCTTATACTCTAACTCAGTTAATATATTATTGACCCATCAGTCAACAAATGTTTTTCATATAACTTATGCAAGTATTTTTTATGGAAAAAAACTAGTCTTACGTTACATGTGATAACTTTCTCTCTTACACACTTTTCGATAATTGTGTCGTCTTTTTTTTATTTTTTAGGTGGTGGAGCTCACAAATTTATCTCTATGATATGAGATAACTTATTTCCTTTAACATGAGATTAATAAAATTCATTTTTTATATATTTTTTAACACTTGTAACTTCTGCCGTAATAATATATACTTTGATTCCATGTTGAGCACAAGCTGAGTAATCATTTACATTTTGTATTACATAGAATAGTAGTCTCCTCTTTTTTAAATAATATTTATTATTAATATAACTTTTGATCCTCTTGTTTTTGCATGTAATGTACGATTTTAGTTTATCCATTATTTTTCAGTAAAATTAAGTCTTTCTAATTTATTTTTCTTTTCAATTAAACAAATCCTTGCCTTCCTTGAAGCAGTACTTAAGCTTACACCCGATCGATAACCACAGAAGCTGATGTGGTACACGTATCCCTGATGAGGCTTAATATATTGCTTAATTAGAATTTTAAATGCGGAGATAAAAATGATTATCATCCTGCTCCGTAACTCGGTAAGCATTAGATAGGTTTTCAACATTCTATATTTTGTTACTTCTGCTTCAATAAGCAAGTGTTGAATCTTCGATGAATGGGCAGTGGAAGTGAAATTTCGTCAACATCTTCACATTTTTTTGTTTTTAGTTAACCCAACATCAATTATTTCTTTGACACGAGTTGAATTCCTTAGTATTTCTATAAACTTTGACTCTTTGGTTATGAGACTAATTCGGAATGCGGGACGAAGATATTTAAACTCTTAAAAAAAAATATGGGGATCAAACCAAGACAATAATATCCAATTTTCTAAAGGGGATCTTCAGATGTGAAGCAGAGGAATATGCCATATACATATTCTAGTGAAACTTTGGTGTTACCGCTGCACCATACAACAATCCAAAAAGAAAAAAAAAATTGGGATTTATATAGAAATAAAGAGAGGAGTAAGGGTTTAAATGGGAAGAATTTTTTTTTTTTTTTTAAAAGTAATATACCCACTTGAATATATCTGATGTAGTAAAAAATTTCCAGAGATTAGGAGGAGGTTGGTTTTGTAATGGTATTTTTGTTTTCAATTCCATGCAACGCAAACGGGCCTTCAAGAAAAGGAGAAAAATTAAATATTGTTCCTTCAAACGATTTTGAGTCGTGTAAAAAAGTGTTTCTGGTGACTGAAAGGTAAACAAACATGCTGTAAGTCAGGGGGACCTCTATTGGTGCAAGCATGTTAGTTAAAATCTGAATTTAAATCTTAAAATTCTGATTTTAACGATTTATTTTTGCTAAAACGATTTGGATTTCACTTAAAATCGTTTTCAATATAAAATCTCGATTAAGACATTTACTTAAGTCCCGATTTTAAGATTTAAATCCCGATTTTAACTATTGGAATGATGTTAAGCAAGTTAGAAAAATTGTTGAATATAACATTGCTGATGTTTCATCCGAAGATGAATGAATTGTGGAAAATGAAGGAACTTTATCTTATGATGAAAGTTTAAATGAAAACAATTTTGAATGATGTAGTTGAAGATCACGTGGAACAGAATGTCTTCGATGATAATAACTTGAATGATTTATTAGCTTAGACCCTTAGAGTGTGACAATTGTATGCAAATGTATAAGGATGGTGGCAGATAGTCTATTTTTCTTAATTTTTTTTATACATAAGCATATGTATATAAAAATTTAATTTTAGAGTGCAAGTAAATCTACGATTTGTATTACGATTTTACGATTACGATTTTTTATTCCCTTTCCGATTTTAGGTAAAATCCCGATTTTGACTACCTTGGGTGCAAGTGTGTATAAGTGCACATACAAATTTTTTTTTTTGGGGGGGGGGGGGGGGGGGGGGGGGGGAGAGAGTATATTTTGTGTCATCAACAAAAATTTTCAATTTAATCTCTTAGGAAAAAAAAAACTCGACTCTCGGTCTCTCTGAATTCCAAAATAGACCCAGTTAATCGGAATTGTGGTTTCTCTGAAATTCAAAGAAGACCTACATTAGTCACTTAAAAAGACTAACATGAGTCTATTTTGAAATTCAGAAGGATCACAAGTCAATTTTTTTCTAAGAAATTAAATTGAGTCCCGTGATTTTTATTGAGGACTCAAAAGGTAATTTATTTTTGTAGTAAGTTCCAATTTTTTTAATATATTTAAAACTTTCTTTAAAAAAAAATTCAGAGGCATTGTCACCAAACCCCCCTCCCAAAATATACAAACATAAATAAAATTGTTTGGGTCCATCACTTGCTATAAATTAATTGTGACTAGTGAATTTGATGGTACAATTTGTTAAAATAGAAAAGAGTCAAAAGACCATACGGGTTATGCATTTTGTACTTACACTAGTGAATTGATGGTATGTGATGACAATTATATAAATTTTGTACTTACACTAGTGTTATACATTTGAGTAATAATTAAATGAAATACACATTCATGAAAATAAATTTTCTACTGATAAGGGTGTTCATGTCAAAAATATTTTTAATACTAAACATTTTGTACATCTTTTATCAAAAATGACAAAAAAAATAATACATTTACATTATTCTACCTTTATAGTTATTTCATTTCCTATCTTCTTTTTTTCTATTTGGAAATAAAAAAAATACTCCAGCAACACACGGAGAATGTGCAGGACATTGAACTTTGTGCCATACTTTGCGATAAAAATAACTTAAATGCCTTGGATTCAATTTATTTTCCAAAAATGACACATTAATGAAATTGCTATGTACTAGGGGTGAAAGTGGGTCGGATTGACCTACAGGGGTCTATGACCTAGCCTATATCAGGCCGGGCTTGGACTATTACATATAGTCAAATAAAATAGGCCCGGACTTTTCAAGAAGCATATTTAGAAAGTAGGTGATATGCATTTTTTTACATGCCCGGGCCTATAAGCTTACAGGTCGGCCTATATCATATCATTTATTTTAACTTAAATAAAATAATATTATTTATAGTAGTACCAAATGGTGATAGTTCAATGAGTGCATGTGAACTAAGTAGGTGATGGAAGGACCTAGGTTTGTTCCCTCACCAATACTATATTTGAGAGTTGCATAAGATCCGTACCAATCTCTACAGTACCATAAAAATAAACATTATTGATGCCTATAGTTCTAGCTTGACTCAAGATACCATCCAAGCGTTGATATACGACGGAGATTGGCTACATAATAAGTATGACTTGAAGAAAAACAAAAGGTATAAATTTAATCAATTGAAATTATTTTATAATTTAATTATATTCGATTAAATTTTAATAGGAATTTGGCTATATTTTTTATATAGGAGGAACCAACATCTCAGTATGTGAGATCTCCTATATGAATCTATTAAAATATTTTTTGTTTCTTAATCTTATTTTTTTTGTTTCTATTCTTTATTCTTGTTTTTTGTTTTCTACAAGCATAAGGTTGCGTACAACTGTACAAGGATTTCCTCCACCCCACACTTGCTAGTCGGGTTTAACGGGGATAGTCGGGTTTAACGGGGAGTGGTTTTTTTTTTTAGATTTGTTTGTTTGATCTGATGAAATATATGTTATTTAGTTTGAGCATTTTACTTTTGAAAGTGACTTAAATGCAGATTGTGATGAGTTTTGTTATGATGCATGGTTCTGTTTGTACGTTGAAATTATGATTTTTGTTTTAGCAACAAAATTTAAGTATTTTGTGAAGTTGATTTATGGTTCTGCTTGAAAGTTAATAATTAATAGGCTAACGGGTCAAGCCAGACTATTTGTTTTTTTATAAACAGGTCAAGCTAGGCTAAC